GGGGGGGGGGAAGGTGACCTGAAGTCTGGCGCAAGATACAGTGCTGGCAGGAGTGTCCCTGGTGCAAGCTGGTTGCAAAGTGATCTGACCTTCTATCACAAATATTTAAAAAATACAGACACCTACCGGGTGTGTGGTGCACGCCTGTAATCCCAGCAGCTCTAAAGGCTGAGGCTCCAGAGGATCACAGGTTCAAAGCCAGGCTAAGTAATTTCGTGAGACCCTGTCTCAAAATTAAAAAAAAAAAAAAAAAAAGACTGAGGATGGGGCTCAGTGGCTTAGCACCCCCCACTTCAATCCCTGGTACCAAAACAAACAAACAAACAAACAAACAAAAAAACCAGACACCTTTTAAGCAATTCTGCTTTTAGGACACAACCTGCTGTGTAGGAGCTCCCACTTCATTATTGTCTGTACAGCAAAACACTTAGATTACTAAGTGTTCACCAGAAGGGACTGATTAAATAAATCTTGTCATTTCTATACCAGAAAATGCTATGTAGTTACGAAAAACAATGAGATGGAACTCTATACACTTGGAGAATGAGCTCCAAGATCCACTGATTGAAACAAAGCATGATTCATGTTGCCAGGTACAGTGTCCACACCTGTCACCCCGGAGGCTGAAGCAGAAGGTTCACAAGTTTAAGAACAACCTGGGCAACATATGGAGGCCCTTTATCTTTTTCTTTTTTGGGTACCAGGGATTGAACTCAGAGGCACTTGACTACTGAGCCACATCCCCAGCCCTTTTTTGTATTTTATTTAGAGACAGGGTCTCACTGAGTTGCTTAGCACTTTGCCTTTGCTGAGGCTGGCTTTGAACCTGCACGATCTTCCTGCCTCAGCCTCTTGAGCCACTGGGATTACAGGTCTGTGCCACCTCGCCCCTGGGATTAATCCCTGTAAAAAAAAAAAAAAAAAATTCTGTGCTATTAGTTCCAAACTGTCAACCAGACAATTTTGTTGTTGGTGGTGGTATTCTAAATTTTTTATTTTATGTATTTATCTGTTTTTGGAAATGAGGATTTTTCTACATTGCCCAGGCTGGCTTTGAACCCCAGGGCTCAAGCCATCCTCCCTACCGATGCACATCACTGTGCCAGTTTCAAGGCAAGTTCTAATTGCAAAGAGGAAAATGTGCCTTAGAATATCTGGAAGTTACCACTATGACCAAGAAATCATTGTTCCTGCTGGGATAACGGGACATTATGTGCCCCCTGTTTGAATGCAATGTCATTACCTTTGGCCATGCCACTGAAAGACTGGTCCAAAGAAAAAGCAGGTCAGCATCCCCGGGGGAGCTTGTTAGCAATACAGAATCTCAGATCCCAACCCAGACCTATTAAATTACAATCTCTGCTAGTTGATTCTTCTTTTTTTTTTTTTTTTTCCTTTTCTTTTGGTACTGGGGATTAAATCCAGAAACATGTCAAAATTTCTTTTTAAATTTAAAATTAAAAATAAGTAAATAAAATTAAAAATACTGGAGACACACCAGTCAAAGGGAATACTTCATCTTTTTTTTTTTTAAAGAGAGAGAGAGAAAATTTTAATATTTATTTTTTAGTTTTCGGCGGACACAACATCTTTGTTTGTATGTGGTGCTGAGGATCGAACCCGGGCCGCATGCATGCCAGGTGAGCATGCTACCGCTTGAGCCACATCCCCAGCTCCAGGAATACTTCATCTTGATTTTTTTTTTTTTTTTTTTTTTTGTACAAGGGCTTGAACCCAGGGTTGCTTTACCTCTGGGCCACATCCCCAGCACAGGATCTTGATGAGTTGCTTAGGGCCTTGATAAATTGCTGAGGCTGGTTTCGAATTTTCAATCCTCCTACCTTAGCCTCCTGAGCTACTGGGATTACAGGCGTGTGCCACCACGCCTGGCCTAAAACAATTCTTTCTCTTTTTGATACCAGGGATTGAACCCAGAGGCACTTAACCCTGAGCCACATCCTCAGCCCTAGTTTGTATTTTATTTAGAGACAGGGTCTCACTGATTGCTTAGTGCCTTGCCATTGCTGAGGCTGGCTTTGAACTTGCAATCCTCCTGCCTCAGCTTCCTGAGCTGCTAGGATGACAGGCGTGTGCTACCACACCCAGCTTCCATTTTATTTACAAGAAAGGTTGTTATGTTATTTTAAAACCAAAATAGTAGGAGCAGTGTGTTACTTCTCTGACCAGATGTGCACACCCCTGCACTCACAGACCTGTGCACATGCGTATGCTTTCAGGCTCCAGAACTATTGGGAAGCTGAGTCAGGAAGAGGGGCTGCCTTACCCAGCTGACTTCATCTCATCCTTCTGAGAACCAGGGTTCAGGGGAGGCAGAATTTCTGCAGGTTGAGGGCAGTTACCCAAGTTGCTGACTCTGTTACTGATGATTGAACCCAGGGGCACTCTACCTTTGAGTCACATCCCCAGCCCTTCTTATTTTTTATTTTAAACAGGGTTTCACTAAACTGCGAGACTGATCTCAAATTTGTAATCCTCCTGCCTTACCCTCCCCAATCACTGGGATTCCAGGTGTAGACCACCGCACCAGCTCAAAGCAAGTTTCTGAACCAGATCCACACCAGGGAGGACCATAGTCCTTTCCCTTTCCATCCTAAATGAGATGGACCTTTAGGGATCCATCCAGGGTGGGAAATGGAGCCTTGGTCCTGGGAGAGGGCAGAAGAGCAGAGTCCAAAGGCATGGTTTATGGTACCTCATAAAACTCCAGGTGGAGCCTGTGCCCGAGTGGGGCGGACGGGAAGAACACTGGCCCCCACTGAAAGGTGAGTCAAAGATCTCTCAGAGTCAGAGTCCCCATCCGACCTGGAGGGGCCCCAAGTGCGAACTCCCAGTCCTGTGTCCCTGGGTCTCCTGGGAGTCCTGCACCTTCTCCCCATGTGCCATCCTCCAGGACAGGAGGGAGGACAGCTAAGCCCTCCTCTTAGTGGGCAGGAGGAAGGGTCTAGGGGCTCATGCCCTTCCTGGTGGGTGCTGTCCTCCTGCACCCAGGGCCTGAGCCCTGGGCAGAAGTGCACCCCATTCTTGGTGCTCACTCATATCACCTGGGCTGTCAGGCTGTCTCTGGGCTCCAGGTTCCCAGGGACTTGTCGGGCACCTGCCACCCCACCCCCCCCACCCATTCTCTCTCTGGGGCCCTATCTTCCCTTATATGGTGAGGGCAGTTCCTAGAGGAGGGGAGGTGAGGACAAAGGTCGCTCTCCTGCAGCCAGCTTGCCACAACTCCCCGAGATCTCCCAGGTGGCAGCTGCCTCCTCCAGACAGGTAAGACAACCCAGTGGCACACGCGGGGACCACAGGTGGTGGGAGCGGGCAGGGTCCTTGCAGCTTCCTGGCAGCCTGGAGCCTCTCGTGCTGTGCCGTGGGGAGGGAACTCTGAGATTCTGGAAAGAGCAAGGAGCTCAGCGTGTCTGTCCTGGGCCTCCAAGAAGAGACTTTTGCAGCACCTTTTCTGGGACTAGCCCCCACCCCATGTTGGGTGTCAACCATCCTGGATTGCCCAGGGCTCAGGAGGATCCTGGGGCTCGGAATGTCTAGATTTTAAACCTGGTGAGTCCTGGACAGAACGGGATTAGTTGTCACCCTGGTTTCCGTCTTTCTCTTTACCCCTCAGCTCCTCTCTGCCCTCATCTGAAGTGGCTTCCTTCTTTCTGTATCGCTGTTCCCTTAACCCTTCGGGGACCTCCGGGTCCTCGCCTCTTGGATCCCAGAGTGTGAGCAACATCCGTCAGGAACTGAACGCTGAGTGCGCAGAGAGTGGCAGGGAGGGTGGGGACTGGAGGCTGGGGGACCTTAGGCTCCAGTCACACCCGGACACCTCTTCTCTGCCAGGACCTGCCCTCTGTCCCCCGAGGTGTTGTGGCCCGAGTCCAGCTCAGAGTCACACCTGGCCACCCTCTTCCCAGGATCATCCTCCTATCACAGAACCTTGGGGTTGGAGGGGTTGGGGGTGTCCATGCCCTATGCCCTCTTGGTCCTGGGGAGGCCGGAGAGTGCCCTTGTTGAAGGAAAGGACCTCACCCGACTGCTTCACAACATCCCTGTTCAGCTTAGAGCTGCATAACTGGGAACCAAGAGCTACAGCAACACCCCCAGGGTCCTCACATCTGCTTCATGAGAATGACAGGGCAGCCGATAAGAAAGGGAAGATGGTGGAGAGCAGGACCCTGACTCCCTCCAGGGCCCTGAAAAGGTTCTCTTGGCATTCCACAGTCCAGTCTTTCAGCTTCGTGTTTGTTGAGCACCTACTATGAGCTGGGAGCTGGGGCTACAGACGTGAATGTGTCTGGGTTGTGCTCACAGACTTCAGACTTGCACACAGGTCTTTTCATCATGGTGTGGTGCTGGCCCAAGAGAGGCATCAGCCCAGGACACTTTGGAGGATTCTGGAAATGTTTCTGGGAAGAAACTAGACCTATATTTGTTGGGTCTGGAAGAGTGTGTAAGGGTCAGACAAGGGAGGGCAGATGGGGAGGGCGCTCATTGGAGGGAATGGGAACAGCAAGAGTGGGCAGCAGTGAGAGGCAGCCCAGGGGCTGGGCAGCAAGCAGGCTGGTGTTCTAGAAGGCAGTGACCGCAGACAGAGGCAGGGGGTGTGTCAGAGTTTAGGTGGATAGAAGAGCAGCAGAGGGGAGGAGGCCAGGATGCTGCACTCCTGAACTCCAGGGTGACAGTACTCTTCCCAGGCTAGGGACATAGAAGAGAGGGGACCAGGAGTGAGGGGGAGTCAGTGGGTTGAAGTTGCGGGGGGAGGTAGTGCACATGCAAACCAGGGCCCTTGTCATGGGTGGTGGGGGGTTGGGAGTGAGGGGCCCAGCAGTTTAGGGGAGGCAGGAGGGTGTGGAGATCCCACTAGGGCTGTGGAAAGGGGCGACTGCTCTGACAGACATGGGTAGGGAGCAGGGAGCTGTAGATCATGGGATGGAGTAGGGTCAGTTCCCCAGCCTGTCCTTGGCCCTAAGAGGCTGTCCACTGTTCAGGCTGCTGCAGGCCCCAATCCTGATTTTTTAGGGAGGAAAAGTGAACCCCAAATCCCATCTCTGGTGAATAGGAAGTCCCCTCTCATGTTCGCCATTCATTCCTATGGCTGCCTTTCACTCCTAGAACCAGGGCAGGCCCTGGGTGGACTTCAGAGATCACATATTTAGTTGACTCTCCCTACTCTCCTGAGGATTCATGTTTTACAGCCAGGGAAGGCCAAAGAGTCTCTTAGAGAAGTGGGGGTAGAGATTAAGGTGGCGATTGGAATAAAACAGAAAGCCTTCTCTTCCTCTGTGCCCAAATTGGTCCTGCTAAACCAGGAGGCCTGGGGCCCTGGAGACTCTTGGTGTTGAAGAATACCTGATAGAGGAGGCCAGGGCCCACAGGGGCATCCGGCAGGGTCCAGGCCCCAGGGCCTCCTAGGAACACGCAGCAGGCAATCTGGCTTGGATCAGCAAGGCAGGGCCGGCCAGGCTGGGCAAGGGCCTTGCCCCCTAACTCCAGAGCACCAGGGAGAGCTGCCACTTCTCAGGGCTCAGAAGAGGGTGTCTCCAAGTAATAAAAGGTCAAGCCATTTACTACTTCAAGATGTGACTCAGAGTCAAAGTGCAAGCAGAGATTAGATAGAGAGATCTGAGTGGAGAGCTGAGGCTGTCAGGGTGCCGAGGCCTGATCCTGGGGCCACATGATCTTTCATTCATTATTCACTAGTTCAAGGAGCAGTCAGGCAGGGTGCCTCCTGCCAGGCTGGGGCAGGCGCATGAAGAATGACGTGGCCTTCAATCTGGTGGAGGGGGACTGAGAAACTAGGGATGAGAGTAACCAGGGACAAGTGGATCTCTGTTCCAGCTCACATCAGGAACCCTGGAGAGTTTTCGAAAGCACCTAGGCCCTACCTCCTATTGGCAGAAAACACAGTACCTGTGGCTGGGCCCCACCCTGGTCTAATTAAATCAGGGCCCCTGGGGATGTGGCTGAACACGGCAGTATCAATATTTTTAAAAAGCCCCAAGTGACTCTGATCAGCAGCTGGGGCCAAGAACACAGCTAAGATCTAAACAGAAAGTCAACATGGTTAGAGAAAGCTTGGGGACCGTGACTTCTGCCAGCCTAGTGGGTAAAGGCTGGTTCACAGTGTGGAGGGTTCAGTCTGTCGTTGGTTCACTCCTTCATGTCTCATTTTCTCCCCCTTTCCCTCCTTTCATCCATCCATTCATCCAGCCATGTCCTGGCACCTTGTTAGTTGCTGGAGAGTTGGTGCTGAACAAGCAGAAGCGGTCCTTGACCTTGTGGGGTCCATAACTGGGGAGGAGCAGGAAATTCTTGCATCTATTTTTTCTATCGTGGCAAAACACTATTTCCCCCCTTGTGGTGCTAGGGATTGAACCTTGCACATACTAGGCAAGTTCTCTGCCACTGAACTACATCCCCAGGCCTTTCTCTTAATTTTGAGACAGAGTTGCTCAGGCTGGCCTTGAACTTGTGATCCTCCTGGGATCACACTCCTGTGTCACCACTCTTGTCCCATTTTATCCATTTTGAAGCACGATTCGGATGGCATTCAATACAGTATTCACAACGTGGTGCAACCATCACTTCTATTTAGGTCCAGAACTTTCCCATCATCCCAAATGGAAATTCCATCCATACCCATTAGCAGCCCTCTGGCAATCACTGCCTCTGTTTCTACCATTTGCCTATTCTGGGTATTTCACGTAAATGTAGTCACACAGTATGTGGTCATTCATGTCTAGCTTCTTTTGCTGGTTACCATAGGTGCATCCATGTTGTAGCATGTATGTAGGTTGTACACCATTCATTTCTAGGGTTGCATAGTGTTCAATATACACACCTTTTGGTTTATCCATTCATCTACTGATGGACATTTGGGTTGCTTCCATCTTTTGCCTATCGTGAACACAGTTACTACAAACTTCAAGTGTAAGTGTAAGAATCCAAGTGTTGGAACACTTGGATTCTGCTGGGTGCATACCCTGTTAAGCCTTTATTTTTTATTATTTATTTATTTGCAGTACTTGCATGCTAGGCAAGCATTCTACCCCTGGACCACATCCCCACACCCTTTTTATTTTATTTTGAGATAGGTTCTCACTAAGTTACCCAGGCTGCCTTTAAATTTTTGATTCTTCAGCCTCAGTCCCCAAGCATTTGAGATCACAGGCTTGTACCATCAGACCTGGCTGAGCCTTTATTTTCTTCTTTTCCATTTTTTAGAAACTTGGTATGATCTTTTTAAAAAATGAACACAGGGGCTGGGGATGTGGCTCAAAGCGGTAGCGCGCCATGCCTGGCATGCGTGCGGCCCGGGTTCGATCCTCAGCACCACATACCAACAAAGATGTTGTGTCTGCCAAGAACTAAAAAATAAATATTAAAAATTCTCTCTCTCTCTCTCCCTCTCTCTCTCTCTCTCTCCCCTCTCTCACTCTCTCTTTAAAAAAAAAAATGAACACAGCTTTGATAACACATTTCCAACAAGAGAAATTGTCTAAATAAAGAAGGGGCTTGGGTGCCAGGGGTGGGCTCTGTTCAGCAGGACAGGCATTGAGTGAGAGTCAAGGTCAGAGCTGGGCCCAGAGTGCGGAGCCAGCTCCATTTCTTTCCCAAGGTCCTGAGCCTGCAGCTCCAGGGAGCTGGGTGCCCTGTGGGGCTGGGCTAGCACCTGACACCCAGGGCACCCCCACCCTGGGCCCTGACTCCCACCCACTTTCTCCCCAGGCATCTCCACCATGACAAACCTGAGCGCCCAAGTCAAAGGCTCCCTCAACATCACCACTCCAGGGGTGCAGATATGGAGGATCGAGGTGAGCTCCCGCAGGCTGGGCTTGCTCCTGGTCTTACCCTGTGGGGCTGCCTGGAGCCCCTCTGTCACCTGCTGCCACCTGCTGCCAGCTCCACCCTCACTTGGGGCCTCATCCTCACCCCTTGTCTGCTGCGCCCCTTCTCCTCCATTTCCTCCTCACCTGCCTGGCAGCCTTCCTCTCCACTTCCGGTCCTCACAATCTCTGGCTTCCTTTCTCCCCTCTCCTCTTCCCTCCTTTTGTTCCAAGGCCCTGATCTTTCCTGCTGTGGCCCCCTCCTCATGCGTCCTCTGCTTGGCTTCCTGGGCCCTGGCCTCCTCCTCCTCTCCCTCTTCCCTGGCCTCAGGGTTCATGGTGCCCGGCCTCCCCTCTGACCCTCTCCTCTCTGCAGGCCATGCAGATGGTGCCCGTGCCGTCCAGCACCTATGGGAGCTTCTTCGATGGTGACTGCTATGTGCTCCTGGCTGTGAGTGGTTTGGGAAGGGGAGGGGGCTGAGCAGAGAGCAAAGCCCACCGCGTGATAGGGAGGAGCCTGGGCGGTGGGCAGGCCTGGCCTGACTTTACCCAGCTGGTGTTTCTAGGGGTACCCAGGTACCCAGCCCGTGGCAGCTCCTCAGGGACAGACAGAGACACGTGTAAAAGGCTCTCCCTGCCCTGGAGCTTCCCGACTCCCAGCTGAGGCCACTTCTGTGGACTCAGTCTTGAGGACCTTCTGGCAGTCCTCAGTTTGGGACTTTTGGATTTTCACCACACCCTGGGACCATCCCAACTGCCAGGGCATTTGTATTCTTTCTGTTGACTCATTTTAAAATTTTAAATACATTATTTAACAATTGAACCCGGTCTTTGATGTAAATAGGAAGCAGTGTTGTGTATTTTCATAATAATGTTACATGTAGCCATCCTCCTCACCTACAGAATATTCTGAGATTCAACCAACCACATGCAGAATATTTGGAAAAATAATTGCATCTCTACTGAATATGTACAGACTTTTTTTCCTGGTCATTATTTCCTAAAAAATACAGCATAACAACTATTGCCTTTTTTTTTTAGGGGGGGACTGGGCATTGAACTCAGGGGCACTCAACCAATAAGACCACATCCCCAGTCTTATTTTGAACTTTATTTAGAGATAGGGTCTCACTGAGTTGCTTAGCACTTCGCCATTGCTGAGGCTGACTTTGAACTCGCGATCCTCCTGCCTCAGCTCCTGAGCCACTGGGATTACAGGCGTGCACCACCATGACCGGCTCATGACGATTTATAGAGCAGTTACACTTTATTTATTTTGGGGTGCTGGGGACGGAACCCAGGACCCCAATTCTGCTAGGCAAGTGCTCTACCACTGAGCCACATCTTCAGCCCCCAGTTCAGGGTTTCTAAGTAATCTAGAGATGATTTAAGATATATGTCATTTTACACAAGGAACCAGAGAATTGGCAGAATTTGGTATCCACAGAGGTCCTAGCTCCCTTATGGACACTGAGGGACACACCAGTGTACACCCCGTGTGCCAAGCTCACCTGTGGCCCAGGCCCCAAGTACATGGGAGACTATGCAGAGTTGGATGTGGGGCTGTGGGGAGCCCAAGGCCTTGGGTACACTGAGCACCCCATTTCCCCAGATCCACAAGACAGGCAGCAACCTGTCCTATGACATCCACTACTGGATTGGCAAGGACTCCTCTCAGGATGAGCAGGGGGCGGCTGCCATCTACACGACGCAGATGGATGACTTCCTGAAGGGCCGGGCTGTCCAGCACCGTGAGGTCCAGGGCAACGAGAGCGAGGCCTTCCGAGGCTACTTCAAGCAGGGCCTTGTGTAGGAGGGGAGCGCTGTGTGAGGGAGGGAGACAGAGCCCGGGGCTCAGAGGTGGGGATGGGAGATGGGGGTTGAGCTGAAGAGGCAAGAATCCTGAGACCTGTGGTGACAAGAAGACCCCAGGAGGTGGGAGGTGACCCAGGCCTGGAAGGGAGCCTGAGACTGTGGGGGAAGCCAAGGGACAGCTCACGTGAGCTTCTACAGACTTTTCCGCCTTTCCACTCCCCGACCCTGTTTCTGCTGCCATTCCTCCTCAGCCCCCTCCCTCTGAGTGTACCTTGGGTGCGCCGGAGGCTGTTCTGAAATCCATATCTCCACTGAAGTTCTGTCAATCAGCTCCTGTCTGGTGTTCCGAGAGCTCAGAACCTAAGGAGACCCTCAGGGCATCACCTCAAGTCCCCTCTGCCTCTGGCTGATGGGCAGGTGGCCGCTCCCCTTCTCTAAGCAAGCCAAGCCTCATGTCAGGTTGGAGGTTCTGGCCTCCTGGCTTTCCCCGTGGGAACAAGTGCTCTGCAGCCCAGTTGCTATTGCGCTGTGGAGTGGGCTGGGAGCTGTCCTGAGCCACAGTCCCCTCTCCTTGTCCTGCTCTCCTCTCCCTACACTACAGCAGCCATCCACTCCTTTGGGCATTTGAATAGCACCTCTCCTTCTTCCACTTTCATCCCCTGTCCTCAGGGACCTGGCTTTATTATTCACTTGTCCTACCATCCATGTCACCATGACCCTAGCTTTGCAGCCCCTCTGAGGGCAAGGGCTAGTGTAGGATGAGTGGGCATCGGGGGTGCAGACTTTAAGGGGCTCTCACTACCAGGGTCACCTGCAAAAGCACCTCAAAGAACCAATTTCACACTTGCAGGACACTGACAGACTCCTTAGAGTTTGCACCCCAAATGCCTCAACCCCTTCGCTTAGTCCCAGCAGGGCCCCTAAATGGCCCTGGTGGCAGCCAGACATCCCAGGACCTGGGAGGAGAGGGCTCGGATCATTTCCTAGCCTACTCCCTTAGGTTGGCTCTCCTTTCCCCAGGATCCGGAAAGGGGGTGTGGCTTCTGGCATGAAGCAGGTGGAGACCAACTCCTATGATGTCCAGCGGCTGCTGCATGTCAAGGGCAAGAGGAACGTGGTGGCTGGAGAGGTAGACAGGCCTGCTGGGCACCCGGCAGGGAATGAGGAGGACTGCTGGGCAGGGAGGCGTGTCAAGAGACCATGCTGATGGATGGGCTGAGTGGGGTCTGTGGCTCCCCCAGGTGGAGATGTCTTGGAATAGTTTCAACCGAGGTGATGTTTTCCTCCTGGACCTTGGAAAACTTATCATCCAGTGGAATGGGCCAGAGAGTAACCGCATGGAGAGACTCAGGGTAAGCCTCTCACCCCATCTGCTCCTGCAGACCAGCCCAGGCTCTGCCCCCTATGCAAACCTGTAGACCTCTGCTACATCCTGGGTGACCCCAGTGCCCTCAGCTTCTCTCCAATATAGGGAGAAGGCGGTGGTGAAGGGTCTCCACGTGCATGGGGGAGGCATGTTGGAGTTGGCCTGTGTATACTCATGGTTAATGCCCTTAGGTGGGATGAGTTCCCACAGTGTGGCAAACCTGTGCCAGGCCTTGGGAGTCCAGAGGTGAATGAAATGGGCAGAGCTTTGCCTCACTCTGGCCTTCAGCATCAGTGACAGAGACAGACAGGAAGGGAGGAGCATGGTGCTGGGTGCAGGGAGGCTTCTGGGACACAGAGGGGTGGGAAGGTCCTAGAGCAGGAAGGAGGTGGATTAGGGAATCAGAAGTGAAGCAGGAGCTTGGAGAACAGGTTGAGGGGCGGGAAGGCTGGGGGTTTCCGCTTAGTGCAGCTGGCCATTGAAGATCATCTGACTTCTGAGTGGAGATGGGGCCAGCAAGAGGCTAAGACCAGCAGAGAGGCCCTGTGGCCCTCCAGGTGTGATGGAGGCAGGCAGAGTCTGCTGAATGAGGTGGGGGCCGAGAGGAGTGAGGCTGACTCCAAGCTCGGTGCTCAGAGAACCCTGGGAATCGGTGGGGTCCTGTTTCCTGGGAAGATCTCAGGGGAGAAGACAGAGGTCTGTTTTCGGCATCTTACAATGTCTTCTGGGAATTTGGGTAAATGAGATAAGAGCAAAGACCAAGGTTGGAGAATGAAGCAGGTGCAGCAGGCCCTGGGACAGGAGAGGTGGCTGGGGAGGGCGAGTGCCACATGTGTGGCTGTGTGTTCATGGTGAGTCCACAGGCATGCTTTGGTGCAAAGGGACAGTCCAGTACTCTGCTCTTTGGGGCTCAGCTCTTGCACAAAAGTAACGTCACAAATTTCAAATGTCAAAACCAAAGGTCCGTCAAGTCTTCCCTGAACACTCTGTTGCTGACTAGGAAACCCGCTTGCCCCCTGCTTCTCACCTGGCTTCCTCGTGCATGCCTTAAATGCCTGGCCCCAGCCCTGGTGGCTGCTGGGGACTGGAGCTTTTCTGGGGGATTTGGGTGGCTGATACTGCTTTGTCTCCTGAGAGCCTTCCTGGGTCCCTGGGCCTTCCTGCAGGGCATGACCCTAGCCAAGGAGATCCGAGACCAGGAGCGGGGCGGGCGCAGCTACGTGGGCGTGGTGGACGGGGAGAACGAGTCAGCCACCCCGCAGCTGATGGAGGTGATGAACCACGTGCTGGGCCAGCGCAGGGAGCTGAAGGCAGCTGTGCCCGACACGGTGGTGGAGCCGGCACTCAAGGCGGCCCTCAAGCTGTACCAGTGAGTATTCAGCTGGGATCTTCCTGGGTTCTGGGGACTTCCCGAGGGCAGAATGCCCTGGCTGAGGGGCTTGGACCCATCTGTGTCTTTTTCGTCCCACAGTGTGTCTGACTCAGAGGGAAAACTGGTGGTTAGGGAGGTTGCCACTCGGCCACTCACACAGGACCTGCTAAGCCATGAGGTGAGAGCGCCTGGCACACCTCTCCCCCAAGCAGCACAAACTCCCAGCTCTAGGGCAGGTGCGGGGGAGGCCAGCCCAGCCCAGCCTCTGGCACCAGCACGGTGAGGCTCTCATGGGGTCTTTTTCTTTCTTGCCCTGGGGATTGAATCCGGGAGTACCTTACCACTGAGTGACATCCCATTCCTTTTTATTTTTTTGTTTTGCGATGGTGTCGCTAAGTTGCTGTGGCTGGCCTGGGACTTGAGATCCTTCTGCCTCGGCCTCCCGAGGTGCTGGGATTGCAGGAGTGCATGACCCTCCCTGGTTCACTGGCTCTCTCGCTCCACTGTAGGACTGTTATATCCTGGACCAAGGGGGCCTGAAGATCTACGTGTGGAAAGGGAAAGCAGCCAATGCAGAGGAGAAGAAGGGCGCCATGAACCAGGCCCTGGTAGGGATGGTGTTGGGAAGGAGGGTCAGGGTGACGAGGGAAGAAACAGCCGCAGGGAGGGCAAGTGGGCTTAGATCAGGGCCAGGCAGGGGCCGGCTGACCCAGCTGTGGCAGCTGAGGGGCCATCTGTAGGCACCTTGGGGGCTCTCTGCAGGCGAGGGAGCCAGCCACCAGGCACCCCTGGCACCTCGTCAGGATGTGGGCTGTTACTCCCCTCGCTCGAGCTTGTTGTAGAGAAGGGAGTGGAATTGGTAGCTGACCTTCCTACAAAAGGGGTTGGGTCAGCTTGGGACCAGGCCCAGTCAGTGTTTGGGGTGATGGGACTGGGTTTGCAATAGGGGGCTGGTCATGAGGCTTAGAATTAAGATGGGGTTGAGCGAGAGGTCAGATTTGGTCTTAGGGTTAGGATCAGAAATATTCTTGGGGTCAGCATTAGATTCAGAGTTGAGGTCAGAGTAAGGCTTGAGGCCACGTTAGGTTTGAGATGGTGTCAAGTTTGACCTTGAAGTTGGGGTTGGAGTAGGCTTAGGTTTGGGGTCGGCATTGGGCTTGGGGGTTGTGTTCAGGTCTGGGACCTGGGGCAGGTGTGACAGTGGAGCTGGCTGGGGTGAGAGCCAGGCTTTGGCTTGCCTTGGGGTGGGGTTGGGAAGGCACATAGTGTCTAGATGCCCCTTCTCTCTTCAGAACTTCATCAAAGCCAAGCAGTACCCACCAAGCACTCAGGTGGAGGTGCAGAATGATGGGGCCGAGTCAGCCGTCTTCCAGCAGCTCTTCCAGAAGTGGACAGTGCCCAATAAGAGCTCAGGCCTGGGCAAAACCTACACCGTGGGCTCCGTGGGTGAGGGCTGAACTGGGGCAGCTTGAGAGGCGGGAGCTGGGATCCAGGAGCTGGGCCAGGGAGCAACTTGGCCTATACCCCCACTCGCTCCCTGAAGCACCTCTTCTCTGCACACTTTTGTCCTGACTCCCAACTCTCCTGCACGGGTTGCATGAAGAGCTGTCACAAGAGGGAGTTAAAAATGACCTGCCTTCCATTTGGAATGGGGTTGGATCTTCTTGGGATCCAAACAGCGTCTCGCCAGACAGTATTTGCTGAGGCAAACTTGGTGCCAGGTCCTGGGAGAGATAAAAGCCTCTGTCATCATGGAGCTGTCTATTGGGATGGGAGATACTTGAAGTCCGATACTGCAAGGGTCAGCAAAATGTGACTCACTGAAGATGAAGTCTTGCTCTTGTCCCTTTCTTGTCCCTGGTGGCTTTTCTGGGAGGAATTAATCAAGCAGGTGTCTTAAGGGCATGGGGATGTGATTCTGTAGTTTCTGTTATTTTGCACATGTGTGACCTTGGGTAAGCTACTGAATTTCTCTAGCCTCAGTTTCCTCATCTATAAAATGGGTCTAAGAACTGTAGCCACCACTCAGGACTGTTGTGAGGATGCGGGTGACAGTCCTCTTGGCTGGTAACAGTTGATGTTATGCTTCCCCCCACTCCAGCCAAAGTGGAGCAGGTGAAGTTTGATGCCACATCCATGCACGTGCAGCCTCAGGTGGCCGCCCAGCAGAAAATGGTGGATGACGGGAGCGGGGAGGTGCAGGTGTGTGAGGGGCGGAGGCCCGTGCTGGGTGGGGGAAGGGAGGTGGAGCTTGGCCTGGACCTTACACTGCCTGATACTCGCCCCAGGTGTGGCGCATTGAAGACCTCGAGCTGGTGCCCGTGGAATCCAAGTGGTTAGGCCACTTCTATGGGGGAGACTGCTACCTGCTGCTCTACACTTACCTCATCGGCGAGAAGCAGCACTACCTGCTCTACATCTGGCAGGTAGACCCTGCCACATCCCACCGGAGCACAGCCCACTCACGCCCCTCCACCATGCCTCACTGTTAGTCTTGGGTTGAGTATCCCTGGTGATGGGGCGCTCACTCCCCAGAGGCAGCCCATGCCCTCTTGGGGCAGCTTTGGCTGTGAAACCCTATGGGGTGCCTCCACTCACAGCCCTTTCTTTCTTGGTTCTCTGAATCTCCCTCCCTGGGGTTTGTGAGGGAGGAGGGAAACGCTTGGGTCTGGGGGTAGGTAGGGTGGTATTTCCTTGAGGAAGGAGGGATCAGGAGAGCAGGGCTGGGCTGGGCTGAGATCTCACTGGGTTGGGGGCTGGAGTGGAATTGGGACATGAGTCAGGTTGGGTTACTGGCTGTGCCTGGCTGAGGTTTGAGGGGAGACAGTGGGCTGGGGCCAGGTCAGTGCTGGGGAGGGAGTGTTTCTAAGGCTGACTGCACACCACCCCGCCTTCCTACTCATCCCCAGGGCAGCCAGGCCAGCCAGGATGAAATCGCAGCCTCGGCCTATCAAGCTGTCGTCTTGGACCAGAAGTATAATGATGAGCCGGTCCAGATCCGGGTCCCGATGGGCAAGGAGCCACCCCACCTCATGTCCATCTTCAAGGGACGCATGGTGGTCTACCAGGTGTGGCTGCTGGACTGAGGCGTCTGGGCATCCAGGAGACAGGAAAGGGGACAGGCAGTGTGGGTGGGGCTCAGGGCGAAGTCCATTCCTCAGAGAGCAGGACCATTTGGGGTTCTATCACCTACGTGAACTGCTAATAGAAACCACCACTTGACAACTTTAGAAATAATACCTAAGAAGCCCTTGCCCTGTGTAAGCACAGTCTGACCTCCACGCCCAACTCCTTGAACCTTCTACATAAAATGTTTTCTGGTTTGCCTAAATGAGGCACCTGTCCAAACTTCACTGGTGTCTTCCAATAATGTGAAGTAGACATTTCATACAGCCATTTAAACAGTAATCTGTTTATTGAGCATCTTCTAAGTACCCAGTTCTTTGTAATTCACCAAGCCAGGAGAGGTGTGGCAGACTAATATGGCTTACCATCTTTTTGGAAAAGGATAGTGGTGTGGTGTGTCTGAGCCGTGAACTCACAGCCTGAGCCCTTTGTTGTTAAAATGAGCAAAATAAAAGTTGAGTTCAAAGTGGTGCCAGGAAGGCAGTCCCTGGGACCAGGCATGGAGCTAGTTCATGGTGAGAAGGGGATTTTGAGGAGGTATTGACATTTGGGGCAGAGCTGAAGAGCTTGGTGGAGGTAAAAGGAGGGTTTGCAAAGCAGGGGACACTGCAAGGTCCAGGGCCCAGGGGAAGGCTCCACAGGGAACAGTGGGAAGCTGGCCAAGCTCAACTCCAGGGTTTGGAGAGCACATGAGCCTGCAGAAGTGACCAGTGTGGAGTTTTAGTCTATAAAACGGCGGGGAACTACTGAAAGATTTTGAGCAAAGAAGTGCCTGAATGAAAGCCATTTTTGGAAGGATCAATCTAGCAATGGTTTATCAGAGGACCTAGAGGGGTGGGCAGGCCTCACCCCACCCTCCTCCTCCCTCTCTGGTTCTCTGTGCCCCTGGATTCCCCCACTGTCTTCCTCACTGAGTTGTTCCTGCCCCTCTCCCTGGCTTCTCCCACCCTTATAGGGAGGCACCTCCCGGGCCAACAACTTGGAGCCTGTACCCTCCACGAGGTTGTTCCAGGTCCGGGGAACCAGTGCCAACAACACCAAGGCCTTTGAGGTCCCAGCCCGGGCCACCTCCCTCAACTCCAATGATGTCTTCATCCTGAAGACCTCATCCTGTTGCTATCTGTGGTGTGGAAAGGTATGCACTGGGTCTAGTGGCTTCCTATCCCCAAGTGAGTCCCTCAGTCTCAAAGCAGACTGGGTGAAGGTAGGACCCCTGGCAACCAGACCCCATTTGCTGGGTCTCCAGCCCCTTGGTAGCCCAATCTCCCAGCTCTGTAGCTCTGGGCCTGACAATCTCCCCACCTCCAACAGTCTCTGATTCTCTGCCTCTGTGTTGGGGTCAGACTTGTTCTGTTTGTCTCTGGATATTCCGTCTGTCCCAGTGTTGTTGGTCTGCATCTATGCCTTGGGGTCTTTCACTACCCTAAGCTTCTCCCTTAATTTCTGTAGCAGGGACTCACAGCCTCTTGGAATCCCTCTTCCACCCTCTGAGGTGGGGTGCGGATGCTTTGGTCTCCTGTGCTGTTCTTTGGAGTGTCCAGGATGCATGGGCCATGATCCAGGGAGTCAGACACTGGAGCTCTGGGCAGAGAGAAGCTGGCACTGACACCAGAGAGGTCCCCCCTCCACCCCCAGCATGGCCTGTCCTCTCTCTTTCCCAGGGCTGTAGTGGGGACGAACGGGAGATGGCCAAGATGGTTGCTGACACCATTTCCCGGACGGAGAAGCAAGTGGTGGTAGAAGGGCAGGAACCAGCTAACTTCTGGATGGCCTTGGGTGGGAAGGCCCCCTATGCCAATACCAAGAGGTAACTGTCGAGTCCTCTGCTCCCAGCACCTCCACCCCATCCAGAGACTGCATGGAGTAGACTGAGAACTTGTCCCTGGTGCCCAGGGCTACAAGATGAATAAGGGGCAGCCTGTGGGCTTGAGGCTCTGGGGCACAGACCTGTGCCCCTGTGCCCACCATGGGATACACAGACCCTGATGGAGTGTTTCCCTGGCAACAGGAGTTCATAGCCACAGCTTAAAGAGAGGGCAGAGCTAAGCATTTGTTTGCTCTTCACAAAGGTGTCAGAGCCTAACTCCTTTCCTTAGGTGCCGACAAAAGCCCAGGTCGCTGAGGAACACCAACTGTAAAGCCTCTTTCAAATGGTCTTTCTAAAAAAATATCCATGACTACCACCCAGTTCAAAAGCAAAAGAGCATGTACTGCTGTAGCAGCAGGAGGGATGGGGGAAGATATCAGGAAGAACTTCCTACCAGGGCTATGGAAAAGCCAGTGGAGTTCATGTCCAGAACAGCAGTGGGGATTTCCTTCTTTGAGCAGAAGACTTTTGTCAATCATAAGATGGGACATTTGGTGAGGCAATGGCCTTTCCATGTCGGAGCCCCTCAGAGTCTGTGTCCTCAGGTTTCCTCCCCTCACAACCTCCTCCTGCCAATGCAACCTTCTCTTTCTGCAGACTACAGGAGGAAACCCTGGCCATCGCCCCCCGGCTCTTCGAATGCTCCAACCAGACTGGGCGCTTCCTGGCCACAGAGATCCCAGACTTCAATCAGGATGACTTGGAGGAAGATGATGTGTTCCTGCTGGATGTCTGGGACCAGGTAGGACCAAGGGCCTTAGTCCCCAGGGCCAAGAAGCCCCCATGACTTTAGGGGTCGGTAAGCATCACTGTTTTGGGGTCCCTTGTTCTTTCTCCCTGGGAATGGCATATGAACACCAGGATCAGAAGGGAGGAAGGGGAAGGGCTGTGTCCCGTAGGGCTGCTGGCAGGGGGGAGCCTTTTCTCCCCTGTCTTCTGTTTCCTGGGACAGCAGGTACATTTGGACACTCAGGCTCAGGATGCTGGAGTCACACGTGTGCAGAACATCCACGTAGGGCCTGTGCAAAATCAAAGCCAGATGGGCCACCCAAGGTCATTTCACTAGGTAGCACAGGGCTGGGGCTCTACTCTTGGACATCTCAGTGACCTGAGGCAGAGCCCTGAGGGCTGGGGAGGACAGGAAGGGCTGACTGAGCTGCTGGGATGCTCCGCAGGTCTTCTTCTGGATAGGGAAGCATGCCAACGAGGAGGAGAAGAAGGCCGCGGCCGTGACCGTGCAAGAGTACCTCAAGACCCATCCCAGTGGCCGCGACCCCGAGACCCCCATCATTGTGGTGAAGCAGGGACATGAGCCCCCCACCTTCACAGGCTGGTTCCTGGCGTGGGATCCCTTCAAGTGGAGTGTGAGTGGCCCCTGCCCCACCTGGTCCTCGCAGCCCAGCACATCCTTCTCTACTAGGAGGCTTCTTCAAGGGACACCCAAGGACGGTAGACGCCACAGGTCTTTCTCCTCCTTTGGGACATGTGACCTGCTTATTTGAAAAAAAGGTTAGGGCTTAGAATTAAAAGCAAGACTTCAGTAAGGCCATGGAGCCTCCCTGGTGAGGGAGAGGAAAGGAAGTCTGTCAAAAACCAAGGCTAGGGGGCTGGGGCTACAGCTCAGTTGTTAGAGTCCCACATGCACATATGCCCTGGGTTCAATCCCCAGCACCACCAAAAAAAAAAAACCCAACCTACCAACCAACAAACAAAAAAACCACCAAGGCTAGGACTTGGAGGCTGTGGCAATACTCCCTAGCTCCACAGGTGGGTGGAAACCAGTGAAGATTTTCCTCCCCAAAGGAGGAAGGCCCAAGTAGAGAGGCCTGGCCTGATGGCTCTGGGTTTGATTACTTAGCACAACAGGTGAATTTAGGGATGCATAATTTCCTCAAGTCGAGATTTTGTGTATATGTAGTTTTTAAACCTGTAGCTGATGGGCCATTTAGTCTTGAGGACCCCAAGGCAGCGAGTCTCAGGCCTCCTAAGACACACTTCAGTGCCCAACTCAGTGGCCCTGGCAGCCCTTCCCTCACCCTAAGTCTGTGTGGGCTTCTCTCTCAGCCTCATTCATTCAGCATGAGAGTGGGGAGCTTGTGATCTGCCATGCCAGGAGCCAGGCCTGCGGCCATAGAGGTGCAGTCCCTGGGGAGTCATGGTCCCTGTGTTCCTCTTGCTCCTCTGCGGCAGGGCTTCCCTCCAGTGTCTAGGACCCCTGAGGTCCCCAGAGCCTAAGAGTGTGGATGGGTTCTTGGCTGCTTGTGGCTGCTCACATGGGCTCTATGGTGAGGGTGGTCATGTGACTCTCCATCCCCACACTGGGCTGAGCAGGGACAGGTTAGCAGCCTGGCCTGCCTGTCTCTGATCTGTCAGCTCCTTTGTCCCATCCTCACCATTTTTTTTTTTCCCTTTTGGTACTAGGAATGGAATCCAGGGAGCTTAACCACTGAGCCACATCCCCAGACATTTCTTATTTTTCTTTAAAATTTTGAGACAGGGTATCACTGAGTTGCTTAGGGCTTCGCTAAGTTGCTGAGGCTGGCTTTAAACTCGCAATCCTTCTGTGTCTGCCTCTCGAGCTGCTGGGTTACAGGCATGTGCCACTGAGTCGACCCATCCTCACCATTTAATCTCCTTTTCAGGGCCTCCTCCAGCCCTCTGAGCTTCCTCTTTCCCTTCTCACCACTAGGACCTAGATCAGCCTTCTTTCAACTCCTGAAGGAAAATGGCCTCTTGTCTCCTCTGCTGAGATCTGGGTCTGAACAGTTGTTTACTTTATATGCAGAATACCAAATCCTATGAGGACCTGAAGGCAGAGCTTGCGAACTCTGGGGACTGGAGCCAGATCACTACTGTGAGTACGGAGAAGGTGGCTGGGCCCCGAGTTGGATGTTGGCAGTGGGATGCTCCCATGGGTGCTGAGAACTTACCAGACAGAAATGTCAATGCCCTCTTCTCTCCTTCTCCTTCTTCTCATGGAAGTTCTTGCTGTTTAACTGCAGGGCCTCTAGTGTTTTATTTTTCCTTTCCCTAGTGAAATGGTTTTCAATTTTTATCATGCATAGGAGTCTGGGTGATGTTGGGGGGGGCAGCATATCAAAATGCAGATTTCAAAGCCCCATTCCTAAATATTCTGATTTGTGGATTTTGGGGTAACACCCTGGAATTGTATACTTTAGGTAAAAGACCCAGAGGTAGTTTGATGCAATTAGCTCATAGGCTGCAGTTGGGGAAATAATGACATCTCTGGACACCATCATCCCTGGGATCATGTCTCCAGGCAGAATAAGTGCAAGTCTTTCATCTCTAAAGTAGTTAAGAGGAATGTATTTATCTGTAGGCCTGGAATATGGGAATATGAAGTCAAAGCCTTTCCTCTGAGTTCACAGGCCAACAGGGAGTAAAGACAGGGCTAATTCTGCAGAAATATGAAGTGGTTTCATAAGCACAGTGTGGTCATTGACAGATGGCTCTTTCAGGCTGGGAACCCTGTAGCACTCAATAAGTGGACTGACAGTGCAGATTGGAAAGATAGGCCAAGGCTAAGTAAATTTCTGGATGACAGTTTCTTAACAGATGGGAGTCCAGGGTTGATCTCAAACTCTGGGGGAAAGCCATGGAGAAGTTAGTAAGTCATTGAACCAGAGAGTCATCTAATACCAACTGACTTCTGTCAGATACAGACCACTAAGCTCCCAGCTCCTGGGTCCAGTCTTTATGCCTGTGCATGTGTGTGCGTGTCGAGGTGGGGTAGATCATGGAACATTTCTTGAAGGGGGTGCCCTGAGTCAATGCTGACTTTAGAGAGGAAGGCAGTCTAGGAGGGGGCCACAAGCCAGTTGAAGAAACCAATGCCCCTTCCTTCTCTAGGAGGTCATAAGCCCCAAATTGGACATGTTCAATGCCAACACCAGCCTCAGTTCTGGACCACTGCCCATCTTTCCCCTGGAGCAGCTGGTGAACAAGCCTGTGGAGGAGCTCCCTGAAGGTGTGGACCCCAGCAGGAAGGAGGTGGGTCTGGTTCCCCAATCAGGACCAAAAACATATGGCTCTTCTATTTGCTGGACAACTTAATTGCTCCCAGACTGGGTTCTGTAGGGGACTGGGTAATGGGACTGGATGTTCTAGTGTACAAGGCGGACCTGGGTCCACCCTCTTGCCAGCTTACATCCTGGGGGACAGAGATCAGAGGAGCCCGATCACAGCACTCATTTCAGCGATGAAGTATAGGTGTCAGCCAGAGTGTTATGAAAAGGAGCCTGTTTTACTCAGAGATTTCCTTCCGAAAGGCAGACAAGAATTAATTATTGAGGCAAAGCAAGTTATTCTTGGAGAAGGAACACAAGTGTGAACCCAGAGACATGAGTCAGCACAGAGTTGGGGAGGGACAGCTGGCTGGCCTTCTGTCCCATATTAAGGACTATACTGTCCATCCTGCAGTTAAACAGGGGTCACATGGTTGAATCAGTGGCTGTCAGACTTAATAGTTTTGATCATTCTACGCTGGGTGTGGTGGCGCACACCTGTAATCCCAGAGGCTTGGGAGGCTGACACCAGAGAATCACGAGTTCAAAGCTAGCCTCAGCAAAAGCAAGGCACTAAGCAACTAAGTGAGACCCTGTCTTTAAAAAAAATACAAAATAGGCCTGGGATGTGGCTCAGTGGTTGAATGCCCCTGAGTTCAATCCCTAGTATGTAAACAAACAAAAAGATCACCCTAGGTGCCCAGTGAACATACTAGGAGGTGGTGAAAGCCCAGAAAGAGATGTGTTAGGAGATGTGAAGACGGCATTGTCTAAGAGGAGGTGGGAGCCTAGAGGAGATGAAAAAGATGCCCAGAGAAGTCTTTAGGAGGAAATTACTGGATCAGGAGTGTGAGACAGAAAACCCTGGCAGGTAGCAAGGTTCACATGAGGGGAGAGTACAGCAAGAAGAACTTTTCAAAGTCACACTTCTAATATCATTCCCACTTCATGAGATCTGCAATGGACTGCACATCTAGCTCAAGTGTTTTGAGAGGAAAGTGTGCATAGAGGCTGGGGTTGTGGCTCAGTGGTACAGCGCTCGCCTAGCACGTAAAAAACAAAAGTATTGTGTCCACCTACAACTAAAAAAAAATTAAAAAAAATATTTTTAAAAAAGTTATAAAAAAGTCTGTGTGTGTGTGTGTGTGTGGGGGGTGTGTGTGTGCTGAGGACTGAACCCAGGGCTTTGTGCGTGCAAGGCAAGCATTCTACCAACTGAGCTATATCCCCAGCCATAAAAAAGTCTTACAAATGAATCAAGGTATCTATAGAAGACAGATGCCCAGTTTCTCCCATAACATTAAAACCTATGGAGGATGTAGATTGTTCCAGAGTGCTTCCATCCTGCTGTCTACCTTGGAGGAGGAGTGTTTTCTCTGAATCCTCCCACCTGTGAGGTGGCTGGAAGGCTAAGGTTCAGAAAGAAGTGACATGCCTAATGTTAACTAGCAAGTTGCAAAGCCAAAGCAAACACCAGGACTTCTGAGTGCCACTGTTACTATCATACTCTGGAGGCATAAAGGAAGTATTTCCAGAGGGAAGGGCAGCCAATGTTATGGAACAGAGGGTTGACAGGAGGTTGGAGTGGGCTATTGATGAACTAAGACAGTCCACATGGCAGAGGCAAAGGGGACTCAGGTTTTTTATTTAAAAATCAGTTGTCCAGGGGCTGGGGCTGTAGTTCAGTGGCAGAGTGCTTGCCTAGCATGTGTGAGGCACTGGGTTTGATCCTTAGCACCACATAAAAGTAAATAAAATAAAGGCTTTCTGTTCATCTACAATTACAAAAAATAAAATAAAATCAGTTGTCCAGCAAGATGTGGTGGCACACACCTGTAAACCCAGTGACTTGAGAGGATGATGTAGGAGGAGCCCAAGTTTAAGGCCACTATGGACAACCTAGTGAGACACTGTCTCAAAGAAGAAGAAGAAAAAAGTCGGGGAGGGGTGTTTGTGGTGTGGCTCAGTAGTAGAGCACTCCTAGGTTCAATTCCCAGGACCAATCAATCAACAGTGATTTTTTTTTTTTTAATCCGGGGGCACTCTACCACTGAGCTGCATCTCTACCCTCTTTTATTTCTGTGAGACAAGGTCTTGCTAAATTGCCCAGGCTGGTCTCAAATTTGCAATCCCCAAGTAGCTGGCATTCTGGGTGTGCATTGCTATGCCCAGCTGTTGCTGATTTTTTTTTTAATCATAGAAGTAATATATGTGTGTATGTATTGGTACCAGGAATTGAAACCAAGGGAGCTTAACCACTGAGCCACATCCCCAGCCCATTTTTGTATTTTATTTAGAGACAGGATTTAAGTTGCTGAGTCTGGCTTTAAACTTGTGATCCTCCGGTCTGAGCCTCTGGGCTGTTGGGATTATAGGCATATGCCACTGTGCCCTGCTATTTTTTTTTTTTTTAAAGACAGGGTCTCACTAAGTTACTTAGGGACTTGCTAAGTTGAGGCTGGCTTTGAATTAATGATCCTCCCGCTTGAGCCTCTCAAGTTGCTGGGATTATAGGCATGCACCACCCTAGTAGTGTACATTCTTTTTTTTTTTTTTTTTAAATATTTTTATTTTTTTTTAGGTGTAGATGGATACAACACAATGCCTTTATTTTTATGTGGTGCTAAGGATCGAACCCAGGTCCCGCCTGTGCTAGGCAAGCGCTCTACTGCTGAGCCACAATCCCAGCCCCTAGTGTACATTCTTGTAGAACTGAGAGTTCAATGCCACGTGGGGAGGTAGGAGAGGTTTTCAGACCTCTCTTCCTTCTGCAAACACAGTAACAAGAGAGTGTGGCAGATCTGGCTGCAGGTAGTAGCTGAAGGTAATCTAAGTGTTGACCCTGATGAGTAAACCTTAGGGAGACGGATATGGGTGGATATGGGCGTGGGGGGCAATCAGCTGGCAGACCTGCAGAGTTCAAGAGCATGGAAAGACATAAGTACCCTGGGATGGGCAGTCCCTGCTATTTGGCCTTGGGGGGGGGTGGAGTGTGGGGGGGGTGGCGGTCAGAGTCCAGCAATCTTGAAAGAGCTGAGGAGCCAGCCTGGCTGGGCCAGAGAGGGCAGAGTAGAGTCATTTATGGAGACCTGGGACACAGCAGTCACAGTTATGAGGAACCTGAGGTTTGGCAGCACTTCCCCCCCCCTCCAAACTTTCATATTTATTTACCCTCTCTTCCAAGACAAAGTGCTCCACTGCCCTGCCTGGGGATAGAAAGGTTCCCAACACCCAGCTCCAGGAAACCTTGAAGAGAGAATGCCTAGGGGTGGGAGGCAAATCTAATGATAGGTTAAAGAACTGGAGGGCCTGATCCACCTGTGCTTGAAATCCATTGCAGGTGTTTACCAAGCAGCTGTTCCATGCAGGGCTCTCTGGAAGTCCCTTATTGGGGCTCAAGGCAACTCCACTTTAGCAGAGTAGCCTGAGATGTTAAAAAGACCCACTATGCTCATCCCTGCACTGTTCAACTCTCCATGCCTAGGGGAGCAGGGATGAAGACTGAGAGATGCTGTTAATATAACTTAAAGTATGCCCAGAGGGCAGTTGGCTGCCTTAAATAATATCACAATGATATCATCTTAAAGTTGGGAACAAAGGTCCTTTAGTCAATTCCTGGCTGAAGATACCCAAGGCCTAGTCAGGTAGTGACTCCCAAGGTGACCTCCTAGTCAAGAGTCAACTCGTGAAATTGTGCTAACTAGTCTTCATTCACAGCATGAGAGGAGCTGGAATGCTATTTTGCTCTCTAGTTTTCAAAACAGCTAGGTAAAATTTGGCTCAGAATTCGTTCTTTGGCCTTCCTGGCTTCTCCTCCTACAATCCTTTCTCCATTCTACTTTCTGCAGCTACCCTCCCAGAATCTCTAAGCAAAACTCATTCCTACAAAATGATCTGGCTGCTACACTGACCATGGACTAGGAGACTGATGAGATTTAATGTGTTGCCTTTTAGTCAGGAACAAAACTGAAGGCCAGGAAGGCTGAAGCTATCTGTAATGGTAAAACTCCAGTTAACTGCAAGCACAGTAGTACACTTGCAGGTAGACTGAGATTTGAAAGCAAACCTCACAGTATGCCTGAAACCACTCAAGGCAGGAGGAGTCAGGATGGTGCAGTGAAGCATGTACTGATTGAAATCAGGGACACAGTCAGCCCTCAGTATCTACAGGGAATTTATTTCTGGATTCCCCATGATACCAAACTCCAGGGATGCTCAAGTCCTATATAAAATGACATAGTATTTGCATATAACCTGCATACATCCTCCTGTATACTTCAAAGTATAATAATCAATATAAAATATCTAAGACAATGTAAATGTTATGCAAACAGTTGTTACACTTATTGTTAAGGGAACAATGATAAGAAACATCTGTACACATTCAGTATAGACACAATTTTTTTTTTTTTTTGGTGATACTTGGGATTGAACCAGTGCCTCGAATATGCTAGGCAAATGCTCTACTGATAACTAGGTCCTCAGCCTTTTTTGAGACAGGGTTTCGCTAAGGTGCTGAGGTTAGTCTGGACCTTACGATCCTCCTGCCTCAGCCTTCCAGGTAGCTTGGATAGGCATATGCCATCACACTTGGCTAAACACACAATTCTCATCCACTCCAAATGTTCTCAATCTTTGGTTGGTTGAAAACATGTATGCACCAGAGGACTAAAAGTTTGCCTCAGTGTCTTTGTAAGTACATGTGTTAGATGGTTGCTTCCTCTGTCCATGAGGGCCACAATAGGCCCTACATCCTGTACAGCTGATCTGCTAGCTTGGTTCCAAGCAACATAGGGCCAGGAGACCCTTCGTGAGGAGTATGGGTTCTTGTGGTAGTGATAATCTCACATAGCCACACTGGGACAGATGCCCTAAGACTCATTAGCTTATTTTGTGGGCCAGGTTGGCTTCACTGTTTAATAGGTGAAGGCAGATGAAACAGTTAGCTACTTTTTTTTTTTCCCCCAAAAAACTTTTTCCTATGCAATATTTTCATCTTTATAAAAGCAGGTGAAGGGTTGGGGTTGTAGTTCACTGGTAGAGTGCTTGCCTAGCTTGTGTGAGGCCTTGGGTTCAATCCTCAGCACCACATAAAGATAAATAAATAAAATAAAGGTATTGTGCCTGTCCACAACAACAAAAATATTTTTTAAAAAGTAAGTGAAAATTGGCTTTTAATAAAATGTCTCCCATTTTATTGATAGGAAAACTAAGAATAACCTGGAAAGAGCTTTAAACAACCTTGAGTCAAATGTCCTAATTCTTATTTCCAGGCTAATGTGAATTTGACCCTGGCAAAAATAAGGAACTCAATTTACTGTATTACCATTTTTTCATGTTACAAGTTCAGGGATCCTCTGAACCCTCTAAATGCCACCTACTCCTCCCCAGGCCCTCATGACATTGCTTGCTTTTGCTCTTCTTTGACTCATTATATGCCGCACCTATATGACTCATCTGGGCAAACCCTGGCAGACTCTGACCTTTGCCTTCTGGCCCATCGTCTCTCCTAGGAGCACCTGTCCATTGATGACTTCACCAAGGCCCTGGGGATGACACCAGCTGCATTCTCTGCCCTGCCTCGATGGAAGCAACAAAATCTCAAGAAAGAAAAAGGACTATTTTGAGAAGCAAGAGTAGTTGCTGTAAAGCAGCACACTCCCCTGCTTGTGAGGCTTCGTTTGTCATTACTGGTTTTAGTCCCATGCCAATTGAAATTGCCATGTGCACAGCAGTATGTGGCAATGGCACTTTTGTTTAGTAACCTATTCATTCAGAAAGATGCCACCTCCCCAAGGAGGCTGTGATCAGACAAAGGTGGTCGGACTGATTTTATCCCAGGGCGTTTTTTTACTTTTAATCATCTTGTTCTAGGCCTTTCCACAGAGGAGCAGCCGAACACTCCATGCAACCAACACGGGCGTTCTGTGGCACCGCCCCAGGTGTTTTCCTAGCATGACTCACTTTTATCTACAGCAGGTGGGCTGAGGCACCTTGCAGTTTTCTCTCCTTCCCATCGCAGTGACTTCTTTTCACATACTTTCCTCACTGCCTTCTTCAGGCCGTAATTTAAAGGCACTTTCTTCTTTTAAGAAGAGTTGAATGGCCAAGGAGAGTGCCCTCTTGGGGGTTTCACAATACTGACTGGCACCCAGTGAGAGCTGAACACACACTGGGTCTAGGAAAGTATGAAATGCAAATACTATTTCAACCCGCCCACTGGCAAAGGAAAGGCTTGGCTAAGGCCAGCACTATAAACTGTTAGCCAGAAGCCTCTGCAAAGCTTCCTAGGTTCCTTGGATGAAAAGCACAGGAATTCAGTGGTGACTATGGCCAGGCATTGGTTTGCTGCATGAAGTCCAAATTGGAAAGCCAACAGAAGGCGATTGCCCACAATTTCAAATGAGTTATTAAAAGTGTCTGCAAAAAATGTGCCCCTTTTAGAAATAATAGTCAAACCAACAGAAGGTTAATAAAGGCTTTAATTTCACACACACAAAAAAACTCTCTATAATTTAAAAAGGAAACAAAAAGGAAAAATCGTAAAGGATACAGAGGAACAGTTCTGCTAAAACACAGATAAAGTGCCGCTCCACACAAAACATCAGAATCAGAATCAAAAGTCACTCTGAACACAAAGAAAAAAACCCACCTCACAAATAATGTGGCCAAAGCTGCCAGCAAACCTGGGAGTGGCTCAATTAGGCAAAGTATAGGAACCTCCCTTCTGTTTTCTTCTCCCTAAGCATAAAGAAACACCTACAATAGGCCAGGGAAGTTGGGGAGGGACATGAGCTCTCAGGAGGAGGGAAACCTGGGGGTGAGAGCTGTGTACACCCACACGTGCTCTCCCTCTTTGCCTGCTGTTTTAGAAATAGACCAGTTCAGTCAACTGATTTTTTTTGTTCTAGCATTTGACCTGATGAACTTGAATCCTGATCCAGATCCTCATTCCCTCTCTGCTGATGCCAGTGGACATAACTATACTCCAAAATCTCTGTACTTTAAGAAAAGTCCAATGTCACTAAAATCAAATGCTTATTCATTACTGGCACACTTTTGATTGAAACTTCAAAATCTCAGACACACAGCACACGTGGAAAGGAAACAACTTACTAATTGTGTTTAAATATAACAAAAGTGACTGTCTGAAGCCTGGTAATCAAAGCATGCCATAAAGGAGTCAATGATTGGGGTAACACACAGCAAAGTAATTGTCACAAAACTCTCAAGGCCTAACAAACTATAGTTTCCCAATAAAATATATGTATTCTTCACATGTTAATAAGACATACCAAGGGAGAGAAAGATGTTAGAAGCAGAAATCTTTTAGTTTGGGTACATTCTTGCGAGAGTATTACTTGGTATAAAGAAAAATGAGAAGGAAAAGAACATATCCATTTACTGAGATGCTTTTTATGACTTGCATCTAGTGCTGGGTTGCTGATTTTTCTAAAAATCTCTCTACACATGCAAGCTCCACATCTTGGAAATTGAGCTGTTTCCCTGATTTAAAGCAGAAATCTGCCTCAGGGGTCAAGTAAATCAAATAAAAGGGTTGAGGGGGAGGCTGGATAACTAAGAACATCCACTGCAGTCACTTCAGAGGACAGAGAAGGAAGAGGAGAACATTTTCATACCCTCTTTTCAGTGTATCACAAATGAGTTTACAAATTACTTTTTTTCTCTTCAGGTGAATTTCATTATACAACTCTCTCTGTAGGTGCATGTGTGTGGTTACATAATAGTAACTGCAGTATGGAAGGATAAATAAATTCATAGATTACGTTGCAGAGGTCTGTAAATCTTAAAGCTTCTCTTTCAGGAGAATTTTACACTTGATCAAGAAGAAAAAGAAATGTGTAGTTTAATATTTGCATCTGGAGTTAATTAACTGCTCTGTAAGTATCACTGCACACTTCTTAAAAATGTAAAGACATTTACATTTATTTGCTACTAAGCCATTTAAGTTAGGCCTGGAATTAACAAATCATAGCAAGTAAACCAACAGTTTTGGAATCAAAATATAAATAGAAGACCAACCATGAATTTGCTTCTTATTCTATTTTGCTGAGGCAAAATTTATGAGTGTGTTCAAACATATAAATAGATCCCTAACAAAACAAGAGTCTACCTTCTCAAAGGTCTAAATTATAGTCTGGGTCACTAAAAGGGTAACGGCATCTAGCCACATGCAACTTTCTGGTTTTCCATAATATCAGGGGATAAAAATCAACAAGTTTAAATTTTTGTTTATTTTTCCCTTCAAAAAAAATTTCAACTAAGAGCAAAAGGTTGTGTCCAGAACTGCTATCAAATTCCAATTCAATGTCATTTAAAGTAATGTAATGTAACCACACATTTGGCATTTCAATAGGAAGGTTAATTAGTTATTGTGCAGACTGCCTGGAACTGAAGTACTCTGTTCCTATCTAATCTGTCCCTTCCTGGCCCCAACATGCTAACTGCCCCATCCCTTGCTTCAGTTAAACTGACAACACTGTGCAAAAAATAATATATTACCTATTTATAATATTAAAATATATACAGCCGGTTCAAAAACAAAAGAAAACAAAAACCAAGAATTACCACCATCCCACACCCAACATAGTAGAGCTCAAATCTCCATTTGTAGTCAAATGAATAAGTTAAAGGAGTGAAGGGAGAGGGGAAGGCTGACAAGGCCACAACCCTAGAGAGTGTAAAATCCAAGCCCCAAATTTGCAAGTATGAGCAGTGAGAGAACTCATATACTCTAGTATCCTATTTTCAACAAGTCCTGCCCAAGACATAAAAATCAAACCAAATCAGAGTTCTGTGCCAAGTGCACTTCTAAACCATAAACACATGCAAGCCATGAAAACAATTCAAATCAGGTTGCTGGTAAAGCAATCTAGGCTCATGGCATTACTTCCATTTTTCTCTGTGTCTGAACACAGACGTCACTTCAAATCATTCCCAATCATTTTAATAGCTCAAAGCTCTCATATGCAGAGACAGGGAAGAGAACAACCAGCTAAGAATTTGGTCACTTCATTTACTTATGAGAAAACAATCTTCAGTCAAAACAAAATGAGGCCCCGGATAGAAATGAAACAAAATTTAAAAAGCTAGTTTTTAAAACAAATATTTTCCTCTGCTCTAAAACCCTGAATATTCTACCACTACCATTTTGGAACATTCACACCAATAATGAGTGTTGATAGATGGCAGGAGGCAAAGCATTTATCAATAGTTAAGCAAAAGTGCTGAGGCCATTTACAATTCAAAGATCAAAACTTTTAGAATTTGTGACTATGTCAGAACACCCAAGTTTTAAGAGTAGGGTTGGAGTTTGCCAAAGGCAATCTTCCAGAAAAGATATTGCATCTTCTGTGATGACATAATTTCTCCTCCTGAAAAACTTGATGTGGTTTTGTCCCTAAGAACTGAAGGGTAATTTCTTCAGTTCTAATAAAAGCAACAACAACAACAACAACAAAATAAGATGGAAAATAGCAAAGAACTTTCATTTTGCTATCCTTAACTGTGCAATCCTAATGACACCTGGGCTTGCAGAATTACACCCTCAAACTCATTCTTCATTAATAAGCTGTTTAACCAAGCTGGTTATGTTGGCTAAGTGACTAGCACTTGACGCTGTCTCCCCACTCACCCTCAGAGCACCTAAAAAGATATATTGTGCACTTTTAAAAATTTGTTAGTTCTTGAGATCACCAAAATCAGTCACATTTTAATTCTCACCCTGTTTTTAAGAGCAGAGCCAAACAGTAAATGATTAAATGCTCAAGCTTTGCCCTATAGCCCCTGTTCTTCATTTCACATTTGCAGCAGGGCTTTTAGCTTTAGTGGTCTAGAGCCTTAACAAAGCAGCATATCTCCTGCCCTCTCTGCCTGGGTAGCAGAGATCCTTCTGTTTTTCCTTCTCCCTAAGCATTTCTGCTGGGGAGTCTAGTTGAAGCAATATTATCTTTCCACCTTTTAAAGTTTTGACTACAATTCTTTAGGGTCATTCTGCTCCATGGAAGAATGATACAGAATAAAATAAAATATTCTATTCTCACCATCACAATAATATAGGTGAATATGATGAATAAACTGTATGAAGAAATCTTGCTAGAGAAAATATGATATGTACAATGAATACCAAATGTGGGACCATAACACATTCTAAAGCACCAACAATCTATTCTTGGGAACTGCACATAAACAGCAAAGGCAGGGCAGATTCACAAAATTTAAAAAATGAAAAAAACTCCTTAAGTCAGGTGACAGAAATGTCTCTTGCAAGAACAAACTGTCATTAGTGTAACATGAGAGCTGGCTTTCCAGTGAAATTAACTCATAAGAAACACACATGAAAGGTCACAGACTTGAGTGAAGCTACTCAAGGAACATAAAAGCTAAAAGACAACTGATATGTATATCTTCACACATTTCTCAAGTGAATGGACTCTCTGACACTTTCCTTTCTCTCCAAACTGCTGTGCTATTAATTTTGAGCAGGCATATTATCTGGTGGCTCATCCTCTTTTTCTTTTTCCTTTTTTGATACTGGGGATTGAACCCAGGGGTACCCTACCACTGAGTTATACACACAGCCCTTTTTATTGAGACAGGGTCTCACTAAGTTGCCCAGGTTCGCTTTGGACTTGGCGATCCTCCTGACTCAGCCTCCCAAGTTGCTGGGATTACAGGCCTGTGCCACCGCGGCGTTCGGCTTCATCCTAACCCTTTAAGGCTCCATTCATTCCACGTGCCCGTGCGTGTGTGTATGTATATATGTACACATTTATACATACACACCTATTTACAA